CGTGCACGATCATGCCGCGTCCGCGGCCCGCGCCTCCACACTGTCGGCGCCCACACGCCACCGCCGTCCCTGGCCCCGTCTAACTCTGAGACCCATCCCACCCGCGCCAGCACAAGGTGCCTTCAGAGCACAAGCTCCCCTCCTCCCTTCTGCGGCGAAGGATCAAAACCTGACCGCCCTCCCGCCGCACGTCCTTCCTTGCGGCGGTAAGAAGCAGGGGAAGGACAGCTTTTCGGTGACAGTGGGGCCCCCTCGGCGTCACGCTTGGTCGCCGCAGGAGAGCTCCGGCGAGCCCTTGCTGCACTTGCCGCACCCTGGTCTTTCTGCTACACGGGGAGTTCTCCGCGCTGGCCTTTGGGGAGACTCGTGTTTGTGAGTCGTCCCCTCCCTCAGCCTTACTACTGGGTGTCTGAGCCCAGTGCGTTTCAATAAAAACGGTTTTGCTTTTACCTCTTCGTCAGCAGCCTCTTTCCGGTGCACGTTATCGCGCGTCTCTGAGCAGCGTCGTCGGTCGGTCTGGGTCAGCTGGGGCTGCGGTGCTTAGACGGGGTCGCGCATGCGCGCTCGCGGTGCCCGAGGCTGGAGCCCGGTCGAGGCGCGGCAGCGGCGGTGCCGGCGAGGGCGGCTTCCTCCGGGACGGCGCCTTCTCGCGTGTCCCGCGCAGGAGGGTGAAGGGGCCCCCTGGCGCCTCTTTTGTAAGGGCACTGATCCCAGCATGGGGGCCCCACTCCCGTGACCTCGTCACCTCCCAACACCGTCACACGGGGGGAGGCTTCAGCATACGAATTCTGGAGGACGCAAACATTCAGACCTTAGCGGGTTTTTCAATTAACTAGTTCTTTGACTGTTTTCTCCAAGATGGGTTCTCTTCATCTCAACCTTTTGTGACATGCTATCCTCATTTTCCTTACATGTGAGGTATCCTTCTAGGACGACTCATACACAGACGCAGCTGCCCTACTTTCCTCTGCGCTTCTGTCTCCCCTAAAATGCCTCTTCCTAGAACGGGGAGATGGCAGTGAGGACGGTTGGGAGCACAGGGCGGCATGAGTGTACGCGGGCACAGAACGGATGGGGGAACCCTCCCCACCCAATTCCGAGCAGGCGGCTTTCCCTGGGGCTGAGTGTGCTTTTCTCGGAGCAAGCGCCTCCCGCTCGTGTCCTCGCACGCCCAGCAGGGCAGTCCGAGGACTGCCTTCGTGCCAGCACGCACAGCAGAGCCATGAGCAGAGGGCGCTGCCTTCAGAGCGCCTTGCTGGTGGGGAAATTCATCCGATGACCTTATACTGAACCGCAGCCCCCTCCCGCCACCACGGGTGCAGACTTGAACCCAGGGGCCTCCCCAGGTTTGGGGCAAGGACAGCTGCCCCCCAGAACTGTGTGGCACTGTGCCAGGGAGGC